GGAGGAGGAGGAGGAGGAGGAGGACCCGCCATCGCCGCCGCGGCCCCGGCCCCAGTCGCGGCGGTGCTCGTAGCTCATGGCCGCCCGGCAACCGGCTCCCAGCACCGCCGCCGCCCTCCGCCTCATCCGCCGCCTCACTTCCCCCCGCCGCCCCGCCTCTTCACCTCACGCCCCGCCCCCGCTGCCGGGACCCCCGGTTCGAGTCCCCGGCCGCCAGCAGGCCGAGGTCGGGCGGCAGCGCCCGTGGGGAACACGCCGGGGCGCGAAGCGTCACAGCGACTAAATGAGGCGACCTAATCACCGCCGTATGTCACTCTGGTGCACCCTGCACGCATCCCTCTTCTCGTTTCCATTTCCACGTCTAAGTTTTGAGGCCCCTTTCCGAGACAAGATTTCAAGGAAACGTTAAAGGTTGGTCTCCACCATTACCTGTGGGGTTACTACCCTTTCTGTGTACCAGACGGGTGTTCCTCTTGTTTCTTTTTGAAGCAGAATACACATATTTAGATAGGTACCCGCTCTGGGTCTGCTGGCCGACTGCTGCTGTACGTGGTATACTTTCTCCAAGTTCTCCGGAGTGTGAAACTAAACCTTTTAAATTACATAAAATTATTCACAGAATTACTACTCTTTCAACGGTTAATTACTGTTCTTTTTGTTTCCTTGAATACCATTGTGCAGCTACAAATGCTTCTTCAATGTTGTTTCTTTACATATTCTTTTGCCTTTTCTTCCTTGCTCGTATGATCATATTTGTTTAAAAATTGCGAGCATTCGGATCTCTGAAATACAATGTTATGCACTGATTTTCACACTTCTTTCAGGTAAAGGGACTGCTGCTTTCAAAGTAAACAATTTTCTCTTTTTTTCTCTGCCTACAGTTTACCGACAGTTAGTCCAACAACTCCCAGCAGCTGGATATGTAAAGAAATAAGAACTAGGTGCTCCAGTTAAAGATCTGTATTTTCTTTTTTCCTTTCCCCTCACAAATGCTTTCTGCATCCAAGCATCCACTTGTCTTGCTGCTAGGCTCATCCTTTTCCATGCTTAAAGAAATGCCTATTTCCATGGCCTTAGAACATGCAAACCAAAATCACAGTGACCTATCATAGCATACATCTGTATTCTTTTACTCGGACACCTCAGGTGATGGACCTGAATAACAAGGCAGCCACTGGAGCTCTTCTTAGTGATCATGGCAGTAGGTGGAAGATGGCTGACGGGGCCCGTTCCTCCAAGGACAAAACTGCACCACGCCGGAGACGAGACCCATGGTGCACCGCAGTGTCCTGTATGGATCCACCAACTCACCCAGAGCTAATAGGTACATCTACCAAATGGCACAGCATCATGCCACAGTCTTGCACAGGAGCGTTCCTGCAAGAAACATCATGTGGTCTTTTTTTAGCTATACCCAGTTTCAGGTATGAGGAAATCTCAGAGAAGCTTGGATTTTAATTTGAATAAAGAGACAAGTAAGGAATACAGAGCAAGATCTCTGAGTCATCACCACAGCAAGTAGCTGAACTCTGGGTGAGGTTACTTAGAGAAAAGAGGGAAAAGGAGGGGACCAAGAACAGAGAGTACAAGGGCTGGAGGGTACTGATGAAGATCATCTGAAAGGCAAATTACAGGAAGGAGCGTGGGAGAGAAATGAGAAATCTAGGAGGAAATATACTTCTTCCTTACTTCTCCTCTCCTCATCCTGCATCTGTGGCTTAATGCAGAGCAGGGAAGCACACTCCATGACTTCTTGCATTCATCATCCTCCATAAACTAACAGTAACTGCAGAGCATTCTGCAAAAGCCTCACAGTGACAACCAACTAGGGAGTAAAAAAGAGCCAAAGAAAATTAGCACAAAATTCTCAGAAATCTAGGAAATGTTAAAAGATCCCCTGTTGAAAGAGGTCACTGGCATACCTATACAGGCCAAACGAGGGAGAACAGCACAAGTCCTTCCAAAACGGTGGCGGGGGTAGGATACTAGATGGGAAAACACATCCTGCTGCTCAGGTATGAACTTCCATGTCAGTGGCACAACATCAACCACACACAAACCAGCTTGCCTTCTGGGCCTTCTTTAGCCTGTAGGTGAATATAAATTGGGGCGATTATTATCTCTAGTTCTGTTATTTAGATATACCAGGACAGGAGAAGTGTCTGATGCTAATTTGAAACTAGCAAAGCCTGGAATGAAGGGGCCCCTGGTGACCATCTGTAACACGTACCACCAGCCAGGGCTTATGGTATGTATCCCATCAGCAACGTGTGTGGCCACACTCTCAGATGCCGCTTGACTTACACACACCGTTCCATCTTGTGTCAGGTTCTGCATGCCTAAGCAAGCTCTCAGAAAGCTGGTTTTGTCTGTTGTATCTCCTTAAAATTACTGAAGAAAAATGTTTTAGGGTTACCTTGAATCACTTGGGTGAGTTCAACAGATTCATTCTGTTTGATCCAGTATCTCCCCATGACAGTGTATTTGGACACCTAAGCAGGGCACACATTGGAAATAAATGGGATTTTAGTGCAAGAGGAGACTTCCATATGCATGCATGTAGCTACTGCATTTCAGCCATGTCTTTTTTAACACTGAAAAAACCCCACACATTCTAAAGAAAACATTACAAATTCAAATATTTTTAGTAGATTTGTAGATTTAGATGTTGGAAATATAGTAAATGTGAACCTATTCATGTAAAGATAATTTTCTAATATGTATGAAAAGATACATTTCTTGAAATTATCCCACTGGTTTGCCTATTACTGGGCCTTTTCAACTCCTTTTAACCACTGTTCACCGTCAGTTTTCATCCACTTCAGTAGCACACTATCATGATGTAAAGTAATGCATCTGCACATAATGGTCTCTACGCAGCAGCATGCTCTCAAAGACGACAGAAGACGGTGTTCTCCTTTCAGTACTTTGAAGTGAAATTCGTTGAAGTCAAATTCCTAATGAAGAAACACGAAACAGGTCAGGTAAACACTGAGAAGGGGGAGACAAAATAAAAGAGGATCCCACATTACAGCTCTCAATCCAGTGAGTAAATCTTGCTACTGCACACTAGCAGTACTGCAGTCAATAGGACTGTCTCTATGAGTAAAGATTGTTTGTGCAGGGACTGAAGGTCTTTAAAATTAGTTTGTTTTATAAAACATAGAGTGTAGAACATACAGGAGTATACAGATGTGGGTATTGCAATTCTTATAGGAGCTGTTGCTGGAGTGTAGAAAAGCAGAATTTATTCTGCTCTGAGACACTGAAATCTGCAAAATTCATTAAGAGAGAGGAACATAACGCTCACTTATAATGATACATACTGGGAAGTGAAACCATATTCTAGAATCTATGCATCAACCCCAAATCTATAAAGGTAAAATAATGTATAAGTAACATTTATTATTTTTTATGAAATTACTGTATTTTGAAATAGTATGATGCTGTAAGATATTTTCTATCAAGATTAGTATAGAATATTTAAATTTCAGCACCTGGCTATATCTTTTGTTTCAAGAAGCACAATCCTTTGAGGCATTTGGGGTTCTTGGGCCTGGCCCTGTGTATTACAGATTTATTTTTCTTGTAACTCTGTTAACGTAACGTTATTCTCAGTGTACATGAGTGCCACTGTAAGGAAACTCCAACCCACTGGATACACTGCTTACCGAAGATAATCTCAAAATTATTTCCCAGTTTCTTGTTTTCTATCCTTTGCATTATTCAACAACCCACGTCCTAAGAGCAGGGGAAGCCTGGGCGCTGATTCAAGTCACATTTTCCAAGGGATTTTTTTTCAGTCAGTTGCTGTGGTGTCTGAACAGAGATGAGGTCTCTTTCAAGTCACCTTCAAATGGTCATTGACACTTTGCCCTCAAATGTCAAGCTGTGACTGAAATACATTAAAAGGTCAGACAGTGGAAAAACAACAGAGGAGGAAGAAAAAAATTTTCCTTAAAAACTCAAAAGAATTGTTTTAAAAATTAAGTCCAAATTATAAATGAAGACACCTTAACACTTATGTGAATAAAAAAACCAGGAGCAAATTTTCTCAAACAGCAAGTTTTCTGGTGCATTGTGCAAGGAGCTGATATCTATTCAATAATTACAACTTGGGTTTTCAGACACTTTAAATTGTTTAATGATGTGAGTCATTTAGAGCAAAAAATAAAATAATTGGACATTTGTACATTATCAAATTTACAGATTCATTACCTATATTTTATTACAGCAGCAAGACAACACTCTACAATTAGGTCAAGCTCTGGGTGACAGCTATGCAGAATTTTAATGTCTCCAAATTTTAACCCTTTGTAAATACATCCAACAGAGATTAACACATCAGCACATAATCTTATCAACATAGTCCAAATCACTTCCAGGGAAAACAGAACACCTGACCAAACTACAGTTGTGTTGAACTGCATCCTCCATCACAACTTTGCTACCTTTATCTGGATTGAGTGTGTCTGTTGCTATGAAGATACTTTCTGCATTCCTTCTACAGAACACAAAGAAAAGCAACGTACTCAGAGACAGCAGAATGTGTCTCTCCTCTACATGTATGGATATAGATTTATTCGATAGACTTACCACTGATTGTTCCTTCTACTCTAGTTTCTTGTTAAATCTGAAATATAACATAGCATCTTAGTGGAACTAAGAGCCTTGAGGCAATCTTACAAGAGCCCTTGTTTTCATCTTGGAAAGGCAACACACGGAAAGCACAACTTGCAGAGTGATCCATCTCCATCACAGCAACCTGCAGTCTTCGACCACACCAGCACAGCCCCACTGACAGGGATGGCAGGCCTGATTTATGTTGGTGAAGTGAGAAGGCAAGTTGTCTGCTTCTTTTCATGCCTCTGTATCGAATGCTGAGTGCAAAGAGATGCAGTATTTGGCCCTTTTGCTCTGTCTGTTCATAACCCATAAAGGAATCCTGAATAGGGTTGTGCTTATTTTACCTTGCATGTTCCCACTGAGTGGACAACAGTGTGACTGCAGACACCTAAATGATTATGTTGTCATGCACACCACTGGAAATTAAATCCATTCCTTAAAGAAGCAGTGTAATTTTTAATCAAACTGCTGAAAGTCCTGAGAGTATATTTACCTCTGTTTAACTGAAATGAATGACCAATGCTCAGAGAAAGAGCTCTTGGTCAAAATGCACTAGCATTTCAAGCATATGCAGTGTATTTAATATAAGACTTGAGGACTCCATTCACTGTTTCCACCTTGGCTTGTCTGAATTTGACACAAATTAGAGTACTCGCTGGTTTTAGGTTGGCTTTAGACTTAGTTCTAGGTTCCTTGTAAGTCAATGGAGCGACGAGCTCCTCCTGAGGATGATACAGGTTGGGACCTGATTTAGGTAACCAGACCACTCTCTTGATGTCTAAGCTCAGTCTCTAAGTTTGGCCACCTTGAATAGCTCATTTCCCCTCTCCTAAGGAGTCACAAATCAGTTGTAACCCCAAGCTCCTGACTCAGATCTAAAGCATGAGGATCCATCCAAAGAGGAGTGATGACAGGTTTACAGACAGAATACATATGGCAGAAAAAACAGTAGTGTTTTTTCTGTGAGCCAGTGGGACTCCTGCAACCATCTGCAAGCTACACCCAATCTCGTGGTTGTGTTGAGAAAACTATTAGCTTCACGTGGGCCTTGAGGAGGAAGACAACGTTGTAAAACTATTCCTTGCTTGGGACAACTATGACATGAAGAATTATTCAAATTAATTTTGACGTCCTAGCTCTTCAAACATTTCAAATGCTGCCTTTATCTGGATGCAGTTGCAAATATTCTGTAAGGCTGGGAAACTTCTTAACTTGGTAAGAGATCATGGAGGCAAAAAAGGGGACTCTTCAGACTAACTGCCATAAAATTAAGCAACATTTGTCACATTTGATCAAAGAAATGTCAACCATGAAACTCCTAAGTTTCACAATGTCATATTTACAGAATGTGCATGCTTACATTTCAGCCACCCACATTCAAAGGTCTATACAATGGCCACTTACATAGGTATTACATATGAAGCATGTATAGAGCAGTAGAAAATTAAACCATTTACATATCTTTTAATCCTCTACTTAGTCAACTAAATGAGCTAGTCTTAGGTTTGGGCTACATTTTTTCAGACAAATGTTTCAAGTTGGGCACATCAGTAAGAGCAGAATTGCAAGTCAGCCAAAACTGTTGTAAGTTCATACCTGTGGAGCTGCTCCCTCATTTTCTGCAGGTTCCCACAGAGAGATCACCCAGTGCCGACAAGCAACCAAAGCTGGGTTTTAAGACTTTATTTAGGATTGCTTTTAGACACACATTCCTCAAATAGATAGATGTATAAATAACTTGAAATTCACTATGCAAAGCTGTAAAGCACTTAAATATTTGTTATCCCATTCATATATCATTAGAAGTTTTAATCTATTTAACAGTGTACCCAAATAAAATTAATTTGTATATTAGGAAAAAACAGTTGACATTGTATTTGCTAGGGTAACTTGAGTCAAGAGGACCAATGTCTGTCAAATCAGTTTAAATGTCTAGATTAAATGCCTTTTAATTGCTGTTGCCATCTTCTTCTCGTTTTCTGTAAGCTTTATTCAACATTTGTATTTCTTCCTGATAACCACTTCTTTCCATATGCTGCTTTTTACTATTCTGCCGATGAGCTTCGACAGTGTCTGGAATTGATATGTTAATATCGCTGTCAGGATTGTTTGATGGTATGAAGAGGGAGTAGGAAGCAGTTTCCCCTAAATCACATGAGACAAACCTGTTTTCTTTCCGTGAATAACGTAAGGATGGAGACCTTACCTGTGTGGAGGACTGGCTGATATTACTGATGATTGACACAGTATCCAGGGCCTCTTCATTGTCACAAATTTCAAGTACCTCTAAATGAATTTTAACACTTGTGTCAGCAAACGTATTAGGAGACTCCTCTGGGTTTGGCTCATGACCAACACTTTTAGATCGATATACTTCAATTTTCTTTGACGTGGGTGTTATTTTTTGCCCTTCAGTGCTTACCTCATATGTAGATAAAGAGAGAGTTTTTCCCGTGGGTGCCTGAAGAGATACAGTTCCTTGAAATGCACACAGAGGGATAGCTAAGGCCCCACCTGATCGCTGAAAAAGAGAAAGAATGACCTTTTCTAATGCTAATTTTTGAAGTTAGATTCCATTATAAATAAACCAATTATGCTTAGTTTGTTAACTTATTTTACTGTTGTAGACTTTTCCTTGCAGTATTTTAGAAACCTAGTATTTATGACTTTAAAGAGTAGAAAGAAGTGTTTTATAATGATACACTTTAGTATAAAAAGTGAAGTCCCAAGTGACTGTGACTCAGCTAGTTTATGGACACTCACGCTTTATTAGAATAGTCTACACTTAATGTTTCATTGCAGCCAGTCCACAACGAGACGCCAGCACTAGCAGGCACCTCTCTAGCTAGTACTCATAGGCACTTCTGAAAGTGTTTTCACTCTGCTTCAATCAGATCAAGATACTGATCTCCTAAAGCTTCTCATACAGTGACCGAAAGGACAGAAATGACACCACAGGACTGTTTAAAACCAGGAACCTACGCTGACAACATCTGTCTCCCTTGGGCACCCTGCCTTAATTAGTCTTAACTAAATTAGGTGCCTGAAGTTAGATGGCTTAGCTACCAAGCTGAACTTTCCGAAACAACTTGTCAGATATTATTCAAGGAACTCTTTTGTGCATTTCATTTTTATTGTGGAAATAACATTCATTCAATGGTGTCAGTTTGAAATCTATAATAAGGATTTACAGCACCACTCCTACTCCTCCCAATCACTCCTTCCTACCTCCTGCTGCTGCTGCCTGGCAGGGCAAATCACCAGCCCAAACCTCAGCCTCCCCTGTGCTTCCTCTATACACACACACAAACAGATGCACAGAGACCCTCCTTAGTAGCATTTAACTTTCTGGATGATTTGGGAATAAGAAACAACATCACGGCAATCAATGCATGAGGTGAAAAAATGACAGACAGTTGATTTATCAGGATGTGTAAGTCTGAGGCATTTAAGGAGTTTGGATAGCACTCACATTTCTTCCTGTCCATGCAAGGGAGGGCTAAGATGAGAGAGCGAGACAGCTGTCTAGAAGAGCAGGATATGCCTCTTCGTTTGTGAGTGTTGTGATTAATCTACCTGCAACCAAGAGACAAACCACAGAAACCCTGGGCTTTGGAAAGGACCAGTCTTTCCCATGCAAGTTACAGGGGGATGCCCTGAGCTCACCCTCGGAAGCAGAAGCTCTAATATTGTCCTCCTGGATACTGATTTGTCTTGTGCAAACTGTGTGAATAGAGAGAGAGGAAGAAAAGGAGGAGTGACAGAAAGACCAGGTCTAATAATTGGCAGTATGGAGAAGTGCTAGCATTATTTCAGCACTGAAAGGACCCCTTCCACTTGGACCAATTCCGATTAATGTTGCCTTTCTAGTAAAATTGAGAAAGTGAGTAAAACCAGAGAGGTTTAGAATACCGATTGGAAAGGTGAAATTGTTCATAGGAGCTGGGAAGGGCAATTATTTGCTGATTGCTAAAGGAAGCTGTTGTGATGAGAGTTTTATGGAATTAGGCACAACTTTACAACCACACAGCTAAATCAAGTGCCACATTACCTCACCTTCACTAAAGAGCATGAAGAGGAAATTGGGTTTCATTGCGTAGCAAAATCTTGCCAGACTGTGACTTAATGTGGTCCTTCGACAAAGGAATTTGCCTGACAAAACCCTAGGAGCTGGCTTACCCTGCTGGAAGGAAATCAAAGTTGTATTAGTCTCCTTAATAGATTTGTCAGAGAAAAATGGTCCTCAAGTGTTTTTCCAATGTGCAGTTACAGAGGCAGCTATCATGCTGTCCATTGAGCCGGCAAAGGTCCTAGATTGGTGAATGTTAGATGACAGCAGCTCACTGCCAGCTCCCAGCTGCTGCTGTTCGAGTACAGAGCCATGGTGGGTACAGGGGCTCCCTCAGTGGTAGCTCTCCCAAGAGTAAGCACCAGCAGCCTCTGTTTCAAAGCAATGACATGGGAGATTTTTTTTAAAGCACAGTTAGGTGTTGGCACTTACATTTTCTGTAGTAATTAATGATTAGGATCACTCCTCCAGGAAAGGAGGGATGTGAGAATAACTGTTTTCTCAGGCTGAAGAAGCTCTTGTCCACTTGTCTTCCATCCCAGGTGCTTCCTAAGGTCATGAGAGGACAAAGCAACAAATCCAGCTCTGGGTAAGATCAAGTGGGTAAAGCCTACTATTCTAGCAGCACAGACACAAGGTTAGCGTCTTGGATATTGCAATAGATAGAGCCTGGATACCTACCAATTTTGGTAACACACATTTAGAATGGTGTTTCTGTTGGAGACAAGCCCTACAGTTCTGTTTCCAGCCTCCTGACTAGTTTCTGCAATCAACACTGGAAGTCCTTTGCAGGGTCCGTTAAGAGTGTCTGCATTTCTGGCTGTTAATCAAGCTCAGAATCTGAAGAACAGTCTAAAACAGCACTTAGATTATACAGAAAGACATCTAAAGAGTATGAAAAAGAAAAGTTAAATAAGGACTGATTACTTCAGTGCAGGTTTACGTTCTACTTAATGAAACACCATGGATTTGTCAGACTGAATGTCAAGAAGACAGAGGATATGTCTGAGGCACCTGGAGGGAGAATGAGTAATCCTCACTCACTGGAACGAATACTCCAGTTGTGGAGAATGAGAAATTTTCCAATGACCACAGATTTAGTGGCTCTTTCCAAAAGTCTGTTTTCTGTTGAGAAATCAGTATTTACTTTTAGAAGTGAAAAGGATATGCCAAGTCTTCTATGCCACTTCCCAGTCACTAACCAGGAAGCCAGTAAACTACGTCATTTTCCACTAGACCAATTCCAGTAGAAATATCGTTCAATTACAGACAGACATCTTCACCTGTTTCTACAAGTAGAGAATCCATTTGTCTCTTTGCAAACCGTGCATCATAATGCCATGCACTCGTGACTGTGACAGGCGCCTGCCTAGTAACTGCTGCCCTCGCAGGAAGCAGCTTTCAAATAACAGAATAAACTCCCTCAGTGCAGCAACCGAGTTGCAAGGAAACTACACTATTAACTGCAAGCTTTGATGAAGTACATGTGTGAGAAACAAGCCTATTCATCATCAATACAAAATGTTTGAAGTTTAAACAAGTCCAACTAATTACTGAAAAAAAATAAGCAGCATTTTCATGACACTACAGAACTTAAGCAGAGTTTATTAAAAATTAAATAAAACCCTGGAATTACACGATAGGGGAAAGAAGGAGAGATTGGAGCCACTGAACTGTAAATTCACTGAGTGCTGAGGGGAACTAGCACTACCTTGGTTGGCCTGAAAGTGCCACAGCCCCAGGAAGACTTCTATGCTCCATGCTGGAGGGGAGATGCTGCGGCCACTGATGGTGACTGTCCCTCTCCAGCTAGAGTACCTGAAAGGACTCTGCACCAGAGCCAGAAAGGGGCTAGCGACCAAGAACTGGATCTGGCCCCTCAGCTCGTTAGCGATGCACAGGGCACCAAACACCACAGCCAGACTCCCTCCTGGGTTCAGAGCTGTCACCCACCTTGTGCTTGCTTTGCAAGCTTTGCTCTGGAGTCAAGCAGCCCAACAGAAAAATGCTATAAATAAACCCACTGTTAACCCAAAAGACAGAAGAATGCATTTCTCTGGTTTTATGTATAGCCAGGTAAAATTGATTATTACTGCAATTGCTTTCAGTATAAATTACTATTAATGACAACAGAATGTGACCCTTGTCCTTGATATCATCATTAAATATCCATTTTTGCTTCTTATGACACATCCATGCCAATAAATAGGAATCTACTAGTAAACCAGACTATACTGGTGCATTCTCTGAAGAAGTATTTTATCTTCCACTCCCATTGTTACCTACAGTTCAGCTTTCTGATTTTAAGCCTTACAATGCAATTTAATTCTAAAGCAATAGGAATAGGAAGCAATTTGAGTAATGCTTAACAGTGGCCTTCAGTTCATCCATCCAGGTTCCTGTTTCTCATCTCTGCGTTATTTCAGCATGAACAAGAGCATCCACAGTTGTAAAAGGGTTATGATTCATTTTTACTTCAGTGAAAATAGAAAGAGGTCCACTGTGCTGTTTCTGAACATCTGCCATCTCACTCTCCACAGCCTGGGCCCAAAATGCCTTTTGAAAGGGTACTGCTCCACCAGGCTCTTTCCACGCTCTTTTGCCCACACACTTGGTATTCCTGTATTTAAAAGAAAAACTAGTTTCTAAAATAAATACACATATTAACTCTTCCCACACAATTTATGCTATGTGTTCTCTTTTTAAAGCACTTCTACACAGATGTTTTTAAGAACGTACAGAAAACTTAGAGCCACTTGTTTCTTGGATCTTCTTCAGAAAGGCAATGTTTTGACGGTATCCTGCCAATGCATGCAGGAATCAGGCACTAGCATAAAGGTAAAAGAGCTTTGTGAAATGGAAGAAAACCCTATCTTTTCAAAGTGCTATTTTGCAGGTTTTGTGTCTCAGCAGTTTTGCAGTGTATTAGATACACAGATATAACTATCATTACTCCTAAATAAAATGTAGAAATTTTTCTACAACTCCAGTATTGTGTTTGTTTTATCAGAATTACTTATACCAGGATTTGTAGTATTATCACAAAGACACCCCACAGCTGACGTGCATGCTTTCTAACTCTCATGCATCCCATACCAGTCTGGCATCCATGGCAACTACACAGGACAAGGCAGCCTCGCTATCAACGATTCTGATCCTGTGAAGTGAAGACTTGTCTTTCTGAGACCTTACTTACTCTCAGCTAGGAGAGGTGAAAGAAGGATCAGACACTTATCTGCTTGAACACAACAGATTTAAAATTAAGTCTGTTCTGGTTCTTATATCCACTTACAGATACTTTTTCTCTGCATGCACACATGCATAAATACATATAAGTATTTATTTATTCATTTTACATACACATATATGTATATAAAATATTTACCTTTTTACAATTAATTTCTTAATTTCTGGTAGGATTGAAAGGTTTCAATTTGGAAATGCTCAAACGT